ATTTCTTGGTCATACGTGGCTCGCTTGTGTGCCCAGTCAGCATATAACTCATAAACGACATTGTCTACAAGTTGTAAATAGTGATCGTTTGAGTACCAAATTTTGTTTAAAGTGATCACTTCAGTTCTAGTTGTTGTTAAAAAACGATCACTTCAGTGCTAGTTAAATTGTGCGATGTTGTTTTGGATGTCTACGTGGACTGAATTTTTTAAAAAAATATGTCAAGTTATATTAAAAAATGTACTTATAAATGCCACGTAATCAATTTGGCTGGAATTGGTACTTAAGTGATCGCTTTTTTTCCGATTTGGCACTTAAGTGATCCAAAAAAACTTTTTGCACTAAAGTGATCGCCGTACATAACTTTTGGCACTTCTAGTGTTCTTCTCCCCTTTTTTCAGCTATGTGTACACTACAAACCCACTTTTCTCATTTGGGTTATAATAGGGTCAAGTTGATTCGATATAATGGAAGTTTGAGCTCTATTTGACCAGCATACTTGATACTCAAAACCCAACTCGATCTCGATTGAGTATCGACCTTTCTGCCCGACCTCGACTCAACCAGAAAATCAAGATACTCGAGCTCGGCTTGATTTGATTGGGTTACAATCCATTTATAAAGGAAACGGAGCACGAGCTCGATCTCAAAACGTGTTCAGATAATGTGGTTATATTAAGCGATCTTGAGGATGTCCGTGTCTATCTTAGCTAATAAATAACTTTAAAAAACTAATATAAACTTGATTAGTTAGGCTGGATTAAGCTCTCGAATAAGTTGATTCGGTTTCATGTTACTGTTCATATAATAAGACCGATCTATCGAATTAGCTTATGAAGTGGCGTGACGGAGGTTAATTGCTAAATCGATTCACTTAGCTGAACATATTATCATCATCAACCCGGCCTTCGAACTCGAATTAACTATGCTTTGAGAGAGAGAGAGAGAGAGAGAGAGAGAGAGAGAGAGAGAGTTCTTAGATTTGGCAAGATGCCAATCGTCAATGCCAATCGTCAACCATCCATGCATGGTGATCGCTGCAGAGAGGTAGACCATGTCAGTGGAAGCAAGATAGAAATCTTTTGAAGTTTCTTCTCTCTCTCTCTCGATCTCGAGCAAGTCAATCGCAGTTTTCCTGGGAAACTGACAGACATGCTTCTTTCAAGAAAACTCGAGTTGCATTAATTATTTTCTTCAACCAAAAAAGGACAGAGATTCTACAGACTCCAAAGCAACATCTGATTTAGCGCCCAAGGAAGCTCACTGTTTATTTCAATTCGAGTCTAATCCGCTTGGGAGACCATCTAGAGTCAAACCATCCCTCGAAACATAAAGTTACATTGTTATATGTTTCTTTTAAGATCTTTGCTTCTTGGCCAGAGTATATCTTAAATTTTGCTTGAAAGGAAATCTATTAATGCTGTCGAACTCATTAAGCAATCTTTATAATTGTTACATAATTCTAGAACGTGTATATACGAAACATATTCTCACGCTACATACATCGCTTCTATATTTGTTGGCTTCCAATTGTCACGTGAACGTGAAATGATTGTTGCTTTCCCAATGTCTTGGTATACAATAATCTATGTCCAAGTTTTTACTTTGACCAATATTTGATACATTATCATTTACTACAAGCTCGCAATAATTTTTCAAGGGTTTTGGAACAGGTGGTGATAAACCCATGATCAAAATGATCAGTACAACAAATCCTTATTCAACTCTGTGTTGGAGAGCAATGGTTTGTATGAAAGAAATACATTTTCCAAAACTTAAGTGAGAAACTGTGGGTAGCCAAGAAAATGAAGAAAGATCATCAGGAAGTTCGATTATGGTCACACCTCTATCCCATGGCTGCATTGAGACAAAACCCTAGTTTAATGAACTTATACTATGATGGAAAAGAGAAGTTGATTTGCAAAGATCGAAGTTGCAGAGATTTTTTAGAAACCGTGTGGAAGAATCTTTTGCGTTGAGATTAGTAAGGAGGGAGCTCCAAGATTTGGGAAACCCTAGAAGAGACAGATTCTGAAGAGTGAAGTTTCCAAAGGTTTAGTCAATGCCAATGATATGGACAAAAAGGCTTTCTTTTGTCCTTTGTTTTTTTCTCCTCTTAGGTTTTCCACCCATTAGCGGCCCTCAACGCCACTTGCCCATTAGATTAAGGCTAAATGTTATATTTTATTCTTTTATTTTAGGCATAGTGATTGTAGCTGATATTGTCAGACATCCATAATAAATTATGTCTCTCTGAGATTGTAACTGGTGGATGTTTTCCTTATTTTGGTTTCCCTTTGCCATGATCTGATTCAATTTTGAGGCCATAATTTCCCTCCCTTAACATTAGAGGTGTCAAATAGATGGATCAGATCGAATTTGGACGGGCTGAAAATGGGTTCAACTTCAATTGACTCATTCACATCCTATATAATTGTAATAAGACATACCCAGTCCGATCCGTACATACTCAAGTTGATCCAAATGACCTAATTTGAATGCATTAGTTAAACCTGTTCTCTTTTTTCTAATTTCACCATATTAATTATAGAGGAAGGTGCCTTTTTGAAGTGGAGAGTGTCTTTTAGATAGTGCGGGAGCAACTTGCCCTCACCATTATTCTTGATTAAATGGGTTAAAGGTGAATTTCTTTTCGAACCCAGTAGAACCCATCATCAATTGGGCTTTGTTTTATTAAATCCATTCCAAGTTATATATCAAATCTTAGCCAGCCCATGTATTACTTAACTCATTAATATGAGTTATATTATGGGTCTATAAACCGTTTTGTCACCGCTACTTGACCTGCTGTCTATCATTATCATTTGGAAATGAGTTAAACATTGTAAAAGTAACACAGAGGATTTAAACTCGAAAGAGACCCGTTTGTTGACTATAGTAGATGAAAGTTTTCTACATATACACCTGGGAGTTGTCAAAATATTTTCCTCGATCGACTTAGACTGCAATGGAGCAAACTCACTGCATTTAATCCAATGGGGATAATTACCAAAAAGTCATTAACTTATTGTACGGTGGCCAATTTAGTCCAAAACTTTTTAATTTGTACAATTTAGTCTTAAACTTTTTGGTGATTTGCCGATGTGGTCATTTCAGCCAATATTGATCAGAATTGCTGATGTGAATACTAGTTATCCTAAATGACATGAGCGCCTACTTACCAATTTCCAAGCAAAATTCGTCTAAAGAATTACATTAGCAAATAGTCAAAAAGTGTAGGACTATATTGGCTAAATTGAAAAGTTTAAACTGAATTGTCATACGAGCAATAGATTTAGGACTTTTTTTTTGTAATTTTCCGTAATCCAATGTGTTTAATTACTTTTGCAGACATAAGTTAAAAGACGGAAGTCTACATGATCTGTCTCGCGGGGTGACTATTCCTATTCATAAGACTTAGGTTTGTAGTGGAACATCATTATGCCATGTGAACTCGTTTTCGGAGGCTTGTAGCAAGGAATGGTTCTCCCGCATAGTCCTGACTCTCCAAGACGGACCATTACTCAGGCCTTGGATCCTATATAGTCCGCTTCTATATTTGATGGACCGATCTAATCGATAGACTTCATTCATCTGGGAATGAGTTCTGATGTGCTAATCGATAGACTTCATTCATCTGGGAATGAGTTCTGATGTGCTTTAGAAATCAGCTAGTTGATCTGCGGAGTAATCGAGGAATCCGGCAATGAGATCTAAACCCGCAACTGGGACATCACATACCTGTAGGCCTCCACCACTTTTTGGTCCGCGATCACAAGATAGCCAAAAAGGGTTGGCTTCATTGCTTGGTTTTGGAAGACCGGAGAGATGAACTTTTCCACTACTTGGTAAGAAAGTCGATTGGACATCCACATGTGTAAGTTCTCGAGTTGAGCAAGGTATTCAGGTTTGGCATGATCGAAGTGCCTCTATGTGCGACTGCACAAGGAATGAGATAATCTGCTTTTCTAAGCAGCCAAGCTTCCTTATGATTCTAAGATCGTCGTCTGTCGATATATCAACTCTCGAGTTACCGAAACTTTTAGATCTCCCCACTCCCTGTATGTGTCCGGAGTGCGTTTACCGATCCACCCAGGATATTCTTGAGTTTTTGTCCTATGCTTGACATCCAAACACTGGATCTCACGAATTCAAGCAGTTGCTATCTGTACTCAATTCTGCTAAGACGAACACAGACCAAATACATGTGTAATGAAATGTAAGCAATGCTCGTTGCCTTGTGTACATCCATTTAAATTGCGAATAAAGTGCTAATTGTGATGCATGAAACACTCATATATCGACAAAATTTGTCGCAATGATACGAAGGCAGAAAGGAAAATTGAGCTCACAGGTAATTTCAAACAATTGAATGATGATCAATCTTCGACGGCCAGCCCCACTCATTCTTCTCCAGCATGAATGGCCCTGCAAAACACAAATGATCCCAAGGTGCAAGATGCACTTACATTCTGGCCATCCGGTTGCAATAACAAGAGACAAAAGTTACAAATAATATAAATTTTAACTGATTGAATGAGCATAATCTAACTGCATTACCTAATTTGGAGCTTAAAAGTGAATATATGCGAAGATTCAACAGTTTTTCGGGAATGGTGTCGGGGTTGTTGGAGGCTTCAGGTCTTCATACCTGCTCAGGAGAGAAACAAAAGGCAAATACATATTTTATTAACATGATAGCAGAGAATTTGCATACAGTAGTGTGTTGATACAGAAATTATGATCATAAGCAGTTCAAACATAAGGTAACATTCAACTAGTTCGCTCTGACAAGCCAAATCACATTTATTAAATACTGAGCAAGCAAGAAAGGGCAATGCACCTAAAGGGCTGCCTGCTGAGGTATAAGCAAATATTTTTCATTATGCATCTAAACCCTCAAATCATAAAGGATCTCAATCTCCAAGAAGCACGTATTGAGACTACTAAAAAGCTTACGCTGTATATGGAGAAAGTGGCCCCAGTTTTCTCTCTTCATGTTCCTCCCGGTCTTCGGGATTGTTTGTCATCAAAGGCTGAGGCGGTGGTGCACCATTTCCTGATACGTTCACAGAGACTGAAGATGGAGGCTGTGTGATTGGTACACTGGGAGATGGTGAAGTTGGGGGCTTCAAATCTTCATATCTGATGACAAGGTAAAGATAATGTACCAAGGCTAGGGGCAATTACGACATAAAGTACAAAAGTAATGGTTCCAATAGATCAGAAATCCAAACATTACAGGACAAAATGGAAGATCGGACAAATAGAATTCTTTCCACTCAAGTGAAGTGTTTAGAATAGAATGAAAGGAGTAGAGCCAATTCCTGACAATGCCAATTGCAAATAATATCATGTAAAGGCACTCACCAAGGCTTCAGATTGTGCCTTACCCAGTCCAGGCAGAATTCAATGTATTTCATTGGGTCAAAAGTTTTGCTACCTTATCCTCTGATCCAAATGAAGAAGATAGGTAGAAGTAGAGCAACATGAAACTTAAAGGTGGACACTAGAAAGGAACATAACCAGATGATGCTCGCGGTAAGAACTTCGGAAGTCGCTTTAGCTGATGGATCTATGGATTAGCTTTTCTAAATGCCCTTATTTCTCACTGTGAAGAATATAATCTCAAAATCTTACTATAACTTGGTTTACAATAGCTTTTGGTGGCAGAACCTCCTATGATAAGTGCTCTAACCCAAGAACTCATTAGAAACTTCCATCAGATGTGGAACGAAACTAAGTTTCCTGTTCTCGCGACTTGCTTCTTCAGCATAATCATGTATTTGCTGGTGCATGCAGAAGTTGATTCACCACATCTCTCCCATCTTATGATGCATACAGGTCGAATAGAGCTACAATGTTAATGTAGCTATAAGAATTTAGCAGGTGCGTTATACGAATTTCACTTAACAACCAAGAGCTACGGGTAAGAGATCAACCAATACTTATCATCATAATTAGAAAAACTAAAGGGATTGGCAGTACAGTCACACTGAGCTGATATGAAAATTGTGGACAACTTGTAAGAGCAGGAACAGCACTTACACATAGTAGGGTGACCCATAACTTTCAACAATCGTAGCACTTTCAATTGCCACATCGTTGCCTCCAACAACAGGGGTCAAAACGTCATCTGTTTTAGCGATAATGGGAGAGGCATGGTTGTGGGACCACTTGGTTTGGGACTAGGTGAGCTTGGTGGCTTCAGTTTGTTGAATCTGAAGATAATTCAGCCATTAGATGCAATTATTGAGTGACTCAATTGGCGGAGGAAAAGAAAGAAATTTTGCTTACATGACGTAAGGGAGAAAGCAGTGTTGCGGTTTCTCAGCTGCTACTTTCATTTTTATTTCATCAATGCTAGATAGAGATTCTGGTCCACTCATTGGACTGTCGAGGAGTGCAGAAGGGTCACGCGCCGTGTAAGGGAGGAAGGGTGGGAGGACCGAGGGCGAGGGGAGGAAGGCCGGCCAGCTTGCTGAAGAAGAAGGTGAGGGTACGCTTTGCTGAAGAATTTTTTTTTTTTTTTTGGGGAACAGTCAGCATTCCAAATGCTACCAAATGAGCATTTGGAACTCCAATGCTGAACCAAACGGTTCAGCAATTTGGAAATGCTCATTTACCCGGGCCGGTTCCGGGCCAAAACCGGCCCGTGGCCATGTCTAAATGGAAGGCACTGTTGTGGGACCACTTGGTTTGGGACTAGGTGAGCTTGGTGGCTTCAGTTTGTTGAATCTGAAGATAATTCAGCCATTAGATGCAATTATTGAGTGACTCAATTTGGAAAAGAAAGAAATTTTGCTTACGTGACGTAAGGAGAAAGCAGTGTTGCTTTCTCAGCTGCTACTTTCATTTTTATTTCATCAATGCTAGATAGAGATTCTGGTCCACTCATTGGACTGTCAGAAGGATCGATCTTAGAGACAGTATCAGGATTTTCTTGTTGTCCACTAGATGGAGTTGGAGCAGGTGATACAGGCGGTTTCAGATCTTTGGACCTGCAACCAAAAACAGAAAAGAAAGGAAAAGAAAAGATAAAGGGGTCCTTCAGTGCTTCTCTTGCAGTTATACCGATGAAGAGCATGGGAGATATGATAAGTATGTGCTTGCTCTGGAAACAGGAATCTGGTGCTTGAAGTACAATCTGTATTATTAAATTTACATTTTGGGACGACTTGGTGTGGGACTAGGTGAGCTTGGAGGCTTCAGTTCATCATAGCCGTCAAATAAATGCAGCATTTAGATAAATCACTAGATAATTCAATTTGCAAAAGGTTCGAATTTAGCCCACGCGACAAAAGGAGAAAGAGGTTTTGCTTTCTCAGGTGCAACTTTCACTTCTATCTCATCGACACTAGACGTAGAGTCTGCTGCACTCATTTGACTGTCTGAAGCATCTATCTGGGTGACGGTTGTTGGTTTTCTACGGAACATGCATAGTTAAAAAATATAAACGCAGCGGAAAGATATAACTACACAAGTATCTTCAAAGGCGTTGTTCGTGCGTTTCAATCAAAAATCGGAAGACTATAAGGGGTTAATCGGATTACCTCTCGTAACGTGCCCAAAACGATTTCGGTTCGGATGTTCTGCAGTTCGAGCCCTACAACCATCGGACATCTAGTTCAGACATACCATCAATCGCACGACGAACGGAAGGAAGAACTTGCGGATAATCACTAATAGAATTGTGCTAGCAATCTTGTGGCGACAATTCTCCGCACTCTTGATATTTCAGTCACGACGTCGAAAGGGAGAAAAAACTATTTTTAACTCTCACGCACACACATTGCACTCTTTCTTCTCTGTATTTTTTTATATCAGCAACTGTTGCTGATACCATTCTATTTGTGCGATCAGCAACAGTTACTGATCGCATGGATACTCACCACACAATCAGCAACCGTCGCTGATCGTGTGTGCATATAGCACACGACCAGCAACGGTTGCTGGTCGTGGATGATGCCCACGGTCAGCAACAGTTGCTGACCGTGGGTGATGCACACGGTCAACTGCTGACCGTGTGCATGCACCACCATCATCATCATTTTCATTTTTTTTTATTTTAAATTAAAACACACAACGATCAGCAAGGAGCTGATCGTGTGCTGCACACGGTCAACAAATGTTGACCGTGTACATTTTTAATTAATTTAATTTTATAAAATTAAGAGTGCAAGATCATATGGCACATTAACATGTGTCCACTTTAGGTTTGCGTGTGCATCATATGCACGCACACTCATGACTGAAATAAAATAAAATAAAATCACATTTAATTTAATCTCAATCTGACTAATCGATTGCTATAATTGCAAACATATTTGCAATATTGCATCTTCCGTACAACGTCATCCTAAATTGGTTATGGTGTGTGACATTCCTAGGTTCATCACTGAGTTGGTAGTAGGACTTGCACTAACACGTTAATACTCTCAAGAAAATTGATTGTCCCGATCAACCTCTAGATCTTACAAGCCATGATTGACATCTAGCAATATGTCATGGCTACCCAGACAGTGTGAATATTTTAAGAACATAATGAACCCGTCAGCTTTGGGTACAGTGTAATTCAATCCCTCTGCCTTACTATGTCCCGATCGAACAAAGACCATGGAATATTTGTCAAGTCATCAATTCGATCATATGCACAAATCTAATTGACATGCATTTTATATGAGACATGAACAGTTCATTCTCGGTTAGAACCACGGCCGAGGATTTTAATGCAATGTCAAGATTAGATTGCATAGGACATCATTATTGTACCTTGTGTATAACAAGGAGACAGATTCCATTTTGCGCACACGTGTAACTTCGTATGTGAACGAACTATGGCCATCAAGTATAGAGACGGATCAACGAACCAGCAATATGTGCACCTGTGAACCATAGCCATCCAACACACAAGTCAACATTGTGCCTCAGGTCTAAGGATTATTTACACAAGACCAGAGCATGAACGATTAGGCATTGACCACGCTAAAAGCTTCCATGTTGCTAATCGTTATATGCGTGTCACGTTCAGTGAACTTGTCTGATACAAACACCTGTGTTCTAGCTCGGGCATCACAATACCCAATGACTCGTGACTCGTCATTCCCTTAAATATCCAATACTTAATGGTGAAGCTAAGAACACACCGGTCTCAATAGGATTATTGATATCCACTCAATGATCCATCGATCGGGAACAATTTAAAGATTCAGTCTAACTGTGAACCTGTCACACATATTCTTAACGTCTCAAGAATAGGTCCAGTCACAACTGATCTTATGGAATCATTCATATATTTAAATAATTGGACAAATGAATAAATACGTCATTGCCATTAAATAAATAATGAAATTGAAAATACAACTTAAATCCCTAACATGTAACTATTACATGATGACTTTAGGGCATACATCTAACAATCTCCCACTTGCACTAAAGCCAATTTGTTTGGTATCTCAAACCCATCTTGTCAATGTGTCTTTCAAAAGAAGACTGAGGTAAGGCCTTAGTGAAGGGATCTGCCACGTTTTCCGCTGAGGCAATTTTCTGCAAGGCGATATCACATCTCCCAACAATTTCTCTAACGAGATGGAAGCGTCTCTCAATGTGCTTGGACTTCTGGTGAGACCTTGGTTCCTTCGCTTGAGCTATTGCCCTATTGTTATCGCAAAACAATATTATTGGTTGTTCAATGGAAGGAACGACTCCAAGTTCAAAAATGAACTTCTTCATCCAAGCGGCTTCCTTTGCTGCTTCTGAAGCGGCTACATACTCTGCCTTGTCGCGACCTCCCTAAACCGGCCCCGCCGCCTAAGGGGTTAGGCTAATAGATTACTAAGTTAAACCTAGCTCGAGCTCTCCCAAGCTCATACCAATTCGCGACTTAAGTTAAAGTTATTAACATGGAAATCAATTTCACCTAGGAGTCGCCACTAATCAGTTTTTGGTGGGTCGATTAGACACCCAAGCAAAGCAGGGGAGAAATGCTTTACTTCTACGAACCAGAGATTCAATGGGTACGGGGACTTGATTACACTAATTGACCAACTAGTGCCCTTTCGGTACCTAATCTTGCTCAATTCACCACCTAACGTGTTCACACTAACTGGGAGTTTAAAAAATTCATTCCTAACCAAGCTAAGGGAAGCAACAATCACTACATGAACCTAACATGCATAATCAACCACATGCGAGTTTAAATTAAACATGCAATTCAAAGCGTGCGAATCAAGCGAGGAGCAATCAAACATACGCTAATCACACAAAAAGGGAGAGAAAAGCAATTCTGAAACCCAATTTCCAATTTTTGGATTTTCGAAATTTTTCTATTTTTTTTTTTAATTTTCGTTTTTTATTTAAAAAAATAATAATTCCCTAAATCGGCCTATGCTCGGTTTACGTGAACATGAAACAACTCAGAATATGAATATTACGAGAACCGGGCTCAAATCAACCGTTTCAAGATCGAAACTTGGTTTGGGCATTTCGTCGAGCATTTGGTGTGCATTAAAATGCCCCAAATGGCTTCCTCGAGCCATATTCGTGGCCTTCAATCTTACTCCGTGTGTAATATCAAGTGGAACCAAAGTATCAAGGTTATGTTATCACATGCAAAGAACAAGATTAGCTACAAATCACAACCTAAAACGCACGAGAACCAAGTTGGAAACGGCCTCCAATATGTGGGTTCGGGCTGCTTTTGCAAATTTGGGTTTAAACCCAGGTCAAGCAAACCTGTTGCATGCCCAGGTTTAAGCCCCGACACTCATCACGTGCAAGATCTATGGGAAACATCACTTCATCTGAGAGAATATACGTAACATCTACTTTTAAATGAAACAAACATCATGGAGAATGATCAAGCGAACACGTCGAAACAACCCCCCCAAGAAGCATACATGCATGGTTCATAATGACTAGCCATGAATCAATGTGGGTTAGCTTGGCTTTTGACTCAAGTTGCAAGCGATCTCATGGTTCACACGGGGCTTCAAAGACCAAACCAAGTGGATCTCAGCCTAATTTGTACACCCATATAACATTCATCAAGCTCACGAAGGTAGAAAACGCATGCAAAGAGGAGTAGCAAGTCAAACATTTAGGGCTCATGAAGGAGCTCTAACACAGAAAAATTCCAGCCTCAGAAATCAGTACTCTGGGCTGGTTTTCTCTTGATTTTTTCATAACTAAAACATATTCAAAATTGAACAAAAATACATGTAGGATACTCACCTTACTTCCTAGTTTCTCTTTGAAGTATCCCTTGGCCGAGGGAACCAAAAACCTGTCTTCCAAGGGCGCGGGGAACTAGGCTTCTTCAAATTGGAAAATGAGATCTGCAAAGAAGGAACTGACAACGAAGGTTTTTGTTGGTCTCTAAAACCAGAATCAACGACCTCCTTTTCTGACTAATTTGACACTAAACCAAACTAGATGTATTCTAGTTTAATTTTCAAGTCACAGGTATCCTCATATATTCCTCATGTCTCTCAAAAACTCCCACTTTCCCTCACTAGTAACCGTCTGACTTCAACACTAAGAAGATTTCTGGGTTTCTCTCTTGACCCGAGAATGGGCTGCTTTTCGAGGGGATTTTGGGTGGCTTCCCGACATCCATTTGGGGCGTGCGACCTATGGTTAGAAATCCCTTTGAATGTAGTTCCACTCTCTAGTTGAAGGTTTTGGCTAATTTTGGCTCGAAGTTCACGAAAATCTCACTTTCCTCTCCAAAAGTCAGTCTGGAACTTTTCTGGGTTTATGTTTTTTGAGTTGCGTCTGAGGGTGAGTTTTTGGAACGACCGTGAACCCCCTTCCTCTTGTCTCGTCCCTTTATTTTTATCCCCCCAAAATAACGTGCTTCAGAGATCCTATCCATCAAATCCAACCCGATTTTTAGCCCGTGATTGCCCACTTACCAAGCCTGCAAACTGAGTCTCTTCACCAACTTTCTGACTCCAAAATCATCATAATTTGCAGCTGTTGAGTGAGCAGGTTTGACTGAGATTATCACGTGTCTTCAGCAGCTTATCCCTGGCAAATTTTTGTCCATTTGCACTCCTAATGATGGTCTCACACCTCGGCCAGAGTTCACGCTGATCGGCTGGCTGAGTAGGATATGGTGGGGCCACAAATTCGGCTACTCAGCAGCCTCGAATTGAGACCAAATCGTGGACCGGTTTTTGGAAGCTAATTTAAGTGCTTTAATCCATTCATTTGGTCGGAATTTTTGATCAGTTTGAAAGTTGAAGTATATTAGTTTAAGATGATAATCAGAATTTGCAATTTTCCATGCCCAAGTTTGCAGGAAAGTCCCTCAAAATTAGCCACTTTCTTGTCCGAGAATGCCCGATTTGAGCCAATTTAGTCCTTTTGGCTTGATCTGATCAATTTTACCTTGCCCGTTTTCAATTT